ATATCTATGATGGATCCTTGCACATCACTTGTGATCTAGAATCTGGGTTTTTCATGCACTAAAGGTGTTTGATGAAATTCCTGAAAGAGCTTTAATAGAGGTTTATGCATTAATGCCATGATGATGTTTGTTATTTGCATAAATGATCACTTACGATTTATTCTTAATGCTGTCTTGTTGTTTGATCTCCAATGATGATTGGCTATGTGAAGTGGCTTGATTTGTGTCTTGATGCTTGGGAAAGTTTAAGGCTTGATTAGAATCCTACATCACTTGAATCATGTTTTATTATTGTCATTAGCATTTCTAGTTTAGCACCAATGCACCTTAGCCAGCTATCATGTCTAGAATCTCAGGCTTCCATCATTTCATATTCATTCACTTGTTATTTGCTATTGCTTGTTTCTTGTTTTGATCATTTGGTAGTTTATAATCTTGTTTAGTCCTTAGTTAATCACTTGTTTGAATCAAAACTAACTTGTTTGCTTGGATTAAGAAACTATCATAATGAACTAGTGTCTTCCCACATATTTGGATTGATAACCTCTTTGTATTACAAAGACAAGGGATTGATAACCCCAACTAAAGGCCTAATAACCTTAGTTACCATTATGGCAGCACTTTTAATGAAGCATCATCTACATCACAAGGAATGGGCTCTCACCACCAAGAGCAGGAATCCACGCCTTAGCTGTGGAGATCTGATTAATCCTCTCTTGATTGCTAAAGGAGTGCCTATGCTTGGTGAGAAGAAGCACTTTAAGTTGATGATTGCAGCACATTTGGTGAAAACAACATTCATTGAAGGATCTGTGGAAGGAGGCTTGTTTGCTTATAATCTCACTTTCTATGACAGAGATGTGAGGATCTTGCTGCATAATCCCTCCATCACCTCACTTTCTGACCAAAGGAACATTGGTTTTCACATCACCAAGGACTTCCACTACAACCCAGCTATTCATCCTCCCATCATCAGCATCAAGAGAAAAGGAAAAGGAAACAAGGAAAGCAGGCAATAAGCAATGATGAAGAAGCTCAAGAGGATGAGCCAGTGATACCTGATTCAAAGTATGGTAGTGAGAGGTATGTCTTCACTCTATATAATGGAAGAATTCCTGAACCCATTGCCAAAGCTCATCGTCACACTAACCAGCTTCAAGGGTGGAACAAGTGGCAAGACAAGACACTCAGGAAGCTGGTGAATTCGGTTAAGAGCTTCACAAGGACTGTTAAGGGGATGAAACGCAAGATCAAGGAGCTTAGCAGCAAGGGAGAGAAAGGAGAAAGCTCCCAGCCCATCAATGCTGAACCGCTGCAAGATAAAGAAGCTGTAGGAGAGAGTTCTGAGCAAGGAGGACAACTGGTGGTGTTCAGCGATCATGAGTCACCTGATGAGGAGCTGAGGGCAAGGCGAGCAGCAATGAGATCACCCTCAGATCAGTCCAGCAATCCATCCTACTCCATGGGGTCTCCAACCCCACCTCCAAGTCCTTGAGAGGTACCAACTCTAACTTGTACATAGCATTTTGCATTTTATTTTTCTTTCTCATATTGCATTTTGAGCTTGATCTGCACTTCTTTCTTATGCTTTTATAACACGAGACTGTGTTATTTAAGTGTGAGGAAGGAGTTTAGTATTGCTAACCATGTTTGTTCTTGATTTTATTTTCCTTTTCATGTTGAGTCTGCATCTAAGTGCATATAAAAAACGAAAAAAATTCGAAAAACATGAAAACTTTTCAAAAAAAAATGATCATGTAGTTGCATTCTCATTTTTAGGATTTAGTCTAGTTGCATAATCATATAGGTTGCATCAATGCATGGGAGTGATGATAGGTTTTTCCTCGAGAGAAGTTCACTTTAAGAATTCAGTTCATTGCCCTAGTTTCTATTCTTTGATGCATGCAAACAAGAAAGAAATTAAGATTGGTCCATGCTTGGAACTTGTCATTCATTGACTTTGTGTTGAGTGAATCAAGCTTTAAATAGTTCCAGCATTCTCTAAGGGAGAACCATAATTTGACAATCTTATTATCATGTTTGTGCATGTCATTGTGAACTCATAGGTACCTTAAAATATTTGAGCTTTCTTATCCCTTTTTACCACTCTTTGCTAGCTCAATTAGCGGTTCTCTCATCTTGAGACAGTTCCCTGCCTTGAACCAAACCTTTCTTTGAAGCCAATAACCCTTAGTGTGTGGTCTGTGAGGCCTTGTTCTAGAGACTTGCTAAATGGTGTTGGTTTTAGAGCGACAGAGAAAGAGCCGCATGTAGATACTGGTCCAACATCAAGGACTAGTCCAGGTTAAGCGAGTGTGTGAGAGTTTGTTTGAGCTTGTGAGCTGAAAGAAAAATCCTGAGTGGTTTTTCTGTGGACATCAACAGATCTATTCTCTCTTGTGATTTTGCATAATATCTTGCATCCTCTGGAATCTGAAAGGTAACCCTAAAAACTTTAACTCCACCACTTAAATAGCATTTTCCTTTACCAAACGCCGTCTACCCTGGATGATATGTTTCTTGAGAACTTACGCATATACTATGTAGAGAGCTATTTGACTGGAAGTTAAGTCTAAGCGTGTAGAATTTCGCATGACGGATTAACGGACTAGTTAAGCTTGTATTTTGGTGGGAATTTTCTAGGCTACATCTGATGGATGCATTGCGCTTAATAATGGTCTAGGAGTATGGTTTCTGATGATTTTGAGTTCCCTATGATTTCTGTCTAAAACTTTTTCCAAGCTTAGATCTTGTTTTGTTTGAGGAAAAACAAAGGTTTAAATAACACCGTATTTGTACCTATTTTCACTATTGATTTCAAATGCTTTTTCAAAAGTTTTAATTAGTTTGAGGATTTTTTATTATTGTTTTCCTATATTTGTAGTTTCAAGACTCTTTTCAGGAAACTTAGGGACAAACATGACAAAATGGAGGAAATCCACATTTTTAGCTCAGAGTCAAACCGTTAGAAGTTCAGTCTTAAATGAAAACCTTCACACCGTCTGATCCAGCTAAAATTTGGAGACATTCAAAAAGATTCATCTGAAATTTCATATCTCTATACTTTAGGACAATCCAAAGGTGAAATCAAAAGATACATGAAGATCAAGTTGTCATGGCAGTCAGTCCGAACTTCAGCTGACCTGCGGCAAAACACCTTCTGACCGCGCCCCACACTTCTCACCCGTGGTGAACCATCATTTCACCAGTGCGGGAAGACTCTCACCCGCGGTGCATCACAACTCGGCCCCAAGGCCCAACATCAAGCCCATTTCGTCATTTTTAGTCTCAGAAGCCCTAAAGAAGATCTAGAAGACCTTAGGAACTATAAATACATCTCTTAGCTGTTCTTATTGGTTGTGTGCTCCTGTAATAAGTTTTTTAGCCACCAAACTTTGTTTGTTAGGGTTAGGCGAAGGATTGTGGGATTCTTCCCTTGAACCTTTGACATATCTCCTTCTTCCTTTTTATTCATCTATTCTATTTTTAGTTTATGCATCTTTCATATTTGTTTATCTTTCCTGCATCATGGTAGAATAGTTTAGTAGTTGAGTTTTAAGGACTCATCGAAGGGATCTACATGTTCGATTAGGATTTCTAGTTTTTCTCAACCATATTCTATATCCCATCTCCTCTAATTTGAATATAATGCATAAGGTTAGAGTCATGAACTAATCTCTTAGCCTAGGATTGATCAGAGCCATGAGAGTGATGTATCAGATCGCCGGACATAGCTTCGGAAGAACATAGTGGCTGTAGGAGATGAAAGCTACCTATAGAGAAGATGTGAGCAAAAATGAATTCTATTAGTAATGCATGATCTTACTCGCGGCAAGAGACAAAAGCTACTTGTCGAGTTTAAGTGATTGGTTGTTAAGATGACGAGAGTTGGTAAGCCATACAAGTGCCTATTCTAGTTCCATGCAGATGCTAGAAACAAATTAAGATATTCTACCTGAGACTAGTCGGAAAATACTTAGATTTCGATTAGGGTAAAGAAGAGAAGTCTGCGTTGACCCCTATGAGTGTAGAACCCTTGTTTGAATCGAGCATCCCCTGGATTGTCCTTAGCAACTCAATATTATTTCATTTTTAGTCCTTTATCGATTTAGTTTAGAATTAAGTCTTTTATTTTATCTTTTCTTTCCCTGTAAAAATCAAAACCAACAAAAATCCCCTTGAGTTTATTATTTCGCTTATTTATCCCATTTTGAAGTTTTTGCAAATTAAACATCCTTCCTGTAAATCGACATCCTAAGTACTACACCGCACGACTGTGCACTTGCAGGATACTAGAGTTTTATAAATTTAAAACTTATTTGCGATCCGCTAACCCTAGCACGCATCAATACATCCAATGATTCATTACAAGTTTAACATTACAAATTCCCCTCCCCCACTCCTCCCTTATGGTCGAATACATCAAACAAATTTGGTACTATTTCATAATCAATATCGTTTTCAAATATTGTGTTATACTTAAATTTATCCCTTTATTAAATGTATAAAACAACAAAAATTATGTCTGCCCACTCTAAACAACAACTGATGAGCTGTTTAAAAACATCTGAAATGTTAAACTCTAATTAAAATCTATATTTCCATATAATTAATTTTACACACATTGATGTTTAAACTTCACATATCATTTTGTCCATAACATAAAATTTTACATACTGAACTAAACATTATTATTACATACCTAAATATTTTTTTTATTTTAATTTTTTACCAACAAAACGCCAGCCCACCCCTGGACGGTTTAGAATATTAACGATGTAATCCAAAAGTTACACATGCATATATCTTCAAGCATCGATCCTTAGAGCTGTTTTAATAGGAACCAGTTAAAAGTTGCCCAAACATCTTTCTTTTCCCAAACATCTTGCTATAGAAATACCGTTACTATATATGATTGGTGCTTTAATATAAAGGTATAAAGACATTAAGGTTTGCTTCAATTAATATGGTCATTTCCTCTCCTGTAGTCATTAAAGGAATTTTGACTCAATATAGCGCAAAGATTAACACGGTCCCGTCGCTTTTATTATTGAACAATATACATCATGATATAACAACTGGGAGGGATTATTCGAGACAATGCACATAACACGAGACGTGTTCAACTTAATTGTTATTAGAAGGGGAAGAGAACAAAGGAAAATGTTTGGTTCGTGTGGTAAAGAAACTTTGCAACCTCTTTGATGCTTCAACAATGTCGTCTCTGCGTCCAAACCCACTGATCCTTAAATATTCTTCACCACCGGGCCCAAAACCTGAGCCCGGAACTGTAATTATATGAGTGTTTTCGAGAATCTCAGCAAAAACATCCCATGATTTTGATCCCTTAAAGTGAACCCACAAGTATGGAGCATTTACACCACCATAAACCGTGAGGCCAAGTGAGACCAGAGTCTCCATCAGTATCTTCCTGTTCTCTTTGTAGTAGTTGATCACCGACCCGATTTCCTGTCAATGTTTAGCCCACAAAAAGTGAATAAAACGTTAAAGAAAAGTAAGCAGAAATGCAATCCAATGCTACTAAATAAAAATACCTTAAGGCCAACAGAAGAAAGACATGCCAAGCCACCTGCTTGCGCTATATTTGAAGCTCCATTGAAGGAAGTTGTCACAATGCGATGGAAATCGTTTATAATTGGAAAACCATTAGAGTATAAGAGCTCATCAGGAATGATAGTCCAACCAAGCCGAACGCCAGTGAAGCCAGCAAATTTGGAGAATGATGAAATTTCAATTGCCACCTAGGAAAAAGTAATATGATATATGAATGCAAAGAAACAGTAATGCGAATCAGAAAAAGGAGAAGACAAAAAGTAATATATAAGATACAAAGGCTAATTTATTTATTGCAAATTAATTGGGTTTGAGTTGACAAAATATAATACTTAGCGAAGACCAGGAAAAATATCAAACTCGTCTCACCTCTCGAGCACCAGGAATTTCATAAATGGAACGTGGACTGCCATCTTCGATAAAAGCGGCATATGCAGAGTCAAAAATAATAATAGAACCATTGGTCTTTGCAAAATCAACTAGTTGATGGAGTTGTTTCTTGGATGCTACATAACCAGTAGGGTTATTAGGAGAACAGAAGAAGATAACATCAGTTCTTGGGGTCACTGCTAGATCAGGGAAGAAACTATTCGTAGGCCCACAAGGCATGTAGACAACATTTTGGTACTTCTTGGTTGCTTCATGGAAATAACCAGTCTGACCGATAATCACACTTGAATCTATGTAAGCCTAATTTCAAAAAGAAAAAGCAACATAAGAGCAACTAGTAACATTAATAAGAAGATTTCTCTCTCCATATTTTTAGCCACTTAACCTTTTTATCTTCAGACATTACAAAGAGAATGTAAAGATGTAAACAGAAAACTAAAATCGCTGACATTACCGGGAAGGTAGGATCTTGCACAGCAATAGTGACACCAGAACCTAGAAGTACCTGCAAATGAAACTCAAATAAGCATAACGTAAAATGAATGTGTCATATATCAAGAACACCTCTTGATCCATACTTGAAGACGAGAAATATCGCTCTGTGCACCATCTGACACAAAAACTTCATTGCTTTTCACATGCAAATGTCCATAGAACGTATTAGCAATAGCTTTCCGAAGGGCCTGGTAAAAACAAAAGAAGTCAATATACAGGAAAAGAGACTCATTGCTTAAGAAACTCATCTCCCATAGAAAATGAGAATATAGATGCAAACAGAGTGAAAGTAAATCCTTCTTTAGGTTTACAAATATAAACATTAACACTGCTGAAGAAAGAAAAAACTTAAATTGACACGCATATATGATCCAAATTTTTTCAAAACATAGTAAAAGAACGACTATAATTAATTATTTGGAAAAAAAGACCATAATTACCTCATCACCTTGTTCCAGTCCATACCCTCTGTATCCTTCCACAGTCGATAGGGCATGAGCAAACTGAATGATTATAATCAAACATGCAATATTACTAAACACTTAATTAAGAACATCTTTCTTTCTCAGGAAAATATATAGAAATGTTATATTACAATTGTACGATGACGACTAATCACCAATGATTTGAAAACTATATGTGATGTATAGTCACGGTTCAAATGGATCGGACCGGTTGGACCGGTTACTTTGTTTTTATATATTTAAATAAAGGAACCGAGTGATAGGTTCATTCTCATAAAGTCAAAAATTCCTTCAGCAAAAACCGGAACAACAGTGGACATAACAATTAAAGTGATATAAACAACAAAAGTCATTGCAAGTCAAACAACTATAAAAGCACAATTGACAGTAGCAGGTACAAAAGTATAGATTTTTCTTTTTGGTTCAATAAAAAAAGAAGCATAGATATTTGATATGAAACATATGGCTTCTGTTCCTAGACTAGAGCAACTATAAAATCAAAATTAATTGGAAGAGGTATATTGAAAAAAAGGAGACATTCACGAAGCATTTAACATAGACCAAGGAATGATTAACATGATTTTTCTTGGTATCTTCAAAATAACTCCAAATTTTTTCCATATCATTCTATTCTAATATAAGAAATAGATGCATACATATACCGTAGACGTAAACGACTAAACGACCTTTTCGCTACAAGTAAACAAAACTTTTTTTGCAAAATTAAATAACAAAAATAAAACCCTACACATGCATCGAGCATAAGAATAAAAAAAAAAAAAGAACACCAAAACTTGCAGAAAACAATTAACTTAACTTTTGACGACAAAAGAAATTATTTAACTTGCATGAACACAAAAACGATGACAAGAAGGATAATTTCCAAGAAACGAGAAGAGAACGACAACTGACTATTTAGATAGATAGTCAAGTCAGGAAGATATTTTAGGGTTTTGTATGAGTTAAAACACTTTAAGCATATACTCAATTCTAACCGAAGGATGTCGAGTTTAGGCATATACTTAATACATGAAAAACTGTCGAGTTTTATAATTTTTTTTTTAAAAAAAAAACAGTTTATGACTAAGAGATTCTGGACCTGTAAATCGGCCATTCTGTAGATTTAACCGGGTTAAAGGGGTCTCAGTCTCAAAGCAGATTTTAGGCCTTCCATAATAAACCCAAAAAATAAACACATAGAAGAATTTAAAAAATAAATAAAGTTGAAGTCATACGTTACTCATGTCTGTGGTTATCTTCTTCGGTATAGGCTCTGTTGTATCACCAGTTCCAAGGCTTATCAGTCGTACATTTGGATACTTTGCAACGTGCTCGAGCTCACGTCTGCTAATCTGTATATTAATAACAATAATTACAAACTCTGAGTGAAAAACATAATCCACCAATAGACAAGTGCGTGTGCAATAATCTAAAGATTGGAAGATCATGAAATTACTTCAGGGAACAAATAGCTGTTCTTTAGTTTCTCCAAATTCACATTACGGGTAAGTTTTGTGCACCCACCTGAGCAAAAATATAGACGACAGGTTAGTCTAAAAAATATTTGTGGACCCTGTACAGATATTTTAATTAACACATCTATATTGAGTCTCCGTTCGAATACTCTAATCACACATGCTATAGTACGACTACATCCAGATCAGAGTTTCAAGAGTCAAGTTAAGAAAGTTTTACCTAGTTTCTTCAACTCGAAATCTAAACTGTAGAAGAAAGAATGACTGCAGTGTATCAGATAATAATAATAAAAAAAAAACTTTGAATATATTTCTTGCATTCCAAATGTAAACCACTTACCTAGACTTGACAGTTTTTGATGGAGAAGAGCATAATGATGAGGCCAAACTGAAAAACTTTAGACTAACCATTATTTAGTTCAAAGTTTTTTTTTTAGTTGCTAAAGAACTCCCAAGATGTTATCAATTATATATATATAACCTGATCTGTTAAGAACGTATATATATACTCCAAGGAAGTACCAATAATCACTATTAAATTGTGATATATATATATATATATATATATATATATATATATATGTCACCTTCGAGGGGATAGAGTACAGAAATTTCCAAAGCAGCCAATCCATGCACGGCTAGTGAGTCAGAGGAATTCACACTAGGACCTTCTTTTTAATATTTCGTAAGTAATATTAATTGAAGATAGTATTTTTGATAGAGCTTATTAATTGAAGATACCTAAACACCATTTGAAATCTCCAGCAAACACTATTATCCTTTCCTATTGTTAAAGAAACCTCATAATTTTTTTTCTCTTTAACCTCATAATTTTCTTAAGATGCTTGAAGGCATATATACCAATTTTTGGTATCGAAACGTAAACAGCTAACTATTCCCTTCTCTGTATTTGTGAATTGTATTCTGATCTTTTGTGAATTAAAGATTACGAAAAGCTAAATAAATTTGGTAAATGACAAGATGTAAATGTGAAATTAAGAAAAGAAAAATTGGTGAAACTCTAGTTAAAATATAGCATGGAAATGAATTTTAACTAAGTGTTAGGGGTAGTAGATTCCATTTGTGAAAAAATTGATATGTTGGTGTTGGTGTAGATCATGGATCGATTTCCCATAAGTGCAGAATTATCTAATTACTCCATTGAGCAGATAAAAACTGTGTCATACGTTAATCCTATTTGACTACTCCTTGAATGGGATACTTGACTGCTACACTCAGTCTCTGGAGAATAGTCAGCTGGTTAATTAAAGTCCAAATCACCACCTAATTATCGAAACAAAATAATAGCATGATACCACCTAATTATTCTTATGATACTATAATTTTCTTAAATGCAACTACTCTATATTTCATATATACCACTTTGTATACACAATCCATGTATGAATCATGTATTTTATAAAAATATAAATTTCTAAATATTTATAAACCAGTTTTTTAATAATAATATGTTTTATAATATTTTAAAATATTGAAGAAAATTTATGAAGTCTTACATATAACATGTTAAGGTAGTTATGAACATGAAAAATGTTTATAGTCAAACATAAATCAGGTTATAAAATATTTGAAATTTATTAACATTCATATGTATATAAAAATTGTCTTTCAATAAATGTTTCTTAGTAGTGTAGTTTTCATAATTGCTATCATAAAAGTACTCTCAACACTGTCCGAATAGCAATGAAACAAAGAAAATATCTTTACGTCTTCTATTTTTAATCTTCATTTAACTATTATGGTGTTGATGATATTTTTATATAAGTAAAATTTTAATATGGAAATCTTTATCAAATAGTATCTTAACAAAACTGAACCCTAAACCTCAAATTATATTCCGTAACTCCTATTTAGTAAATTAGACACTAACATTAAAACAGTACAACAAAAAAAAATCATGCCTGTCTCATAATTACAGTTAAAAGAAAGATAAATTGTCCAACTCGTTAAAAAGTGAATCCTAATTTTTGTTTGTTTTTCGGCTAATGGCACTCAATAATCCGAAAATATTTTTTTTGTCCGCATTGATATCTTCAAATTGTCAATCTATATTCTTTTCACTGTGTGAAATTACACTCAGAAAAAAAAAATATATTTTTTCACGACGAAGTAGCTTTAGTAGTAATAAAATTCCATGCATGTGAGGTAGAGATCCGGAGAACTTCATGCACACGAGCACATGTTACAAAGGTTGTTAGGTACAACATGGTGGGCCAGTGGACAATTGATTCATCGTGACTCGTGAGGCTTCAGTCTTTCAATCATATCGGTTCACCTTCATAGGATGTGTTAAATGAAATAATCGCTAAAATTTCACATACCCTAGCTTCGGTCCGGGATTCACCAATTATGTAAGAATATGAAAAACTTGTTAGCTACCTAGTTTTTTCATTCCACACAAAACTTCTGTATATATGAGAAGTTGGTCTTGTATACTGTATACGCCAAGTACAAATACAGAAATGGTTATCTTTCTATACTTTAAACGAAGATGAATCTTACAGCATGTCATCATTAGGCGTACTACTACAAGTGTTCCAACTTTTTACAAGTTCCTATAAAATGTTCTTCCACCAAATTTTCAGAAACCTTATTTACGTCACATGGTTCATTACCTTAATTAGGGAAGGGTTTATTATGGCAGAATACAAAGTATCTAAGTTTATAGCAGACAAAGTTTGGACCTAATTGTGTTGTTGTCTTGATAAGAGGACTATAGAGGAAAGTCACGTATGAATAGGCTTAAGAAATGACTAAGAAGCCTCATAGAAATTATCATTTTTGCAAAAAAATTAATAAAAACTTGACCAGTATATATCAACATCAAGATATGAGAATAAAAACGAAAGAATCACACCTTGACGAACCAATATTTTACTCATCTCTGGAGAAAAGTCAATAAGGAAGAGAAGAAAAATCGTAATAGTCAATTTATAATATTAATTTAAGTTTGTTAGAAATATCAAATATTCTCAAAGAGAATAATTCTTTTTTTTTAAAGTATCGGTCCAAATTCAAGATATAAAGGAGGTTATAATTTTATGAGTTTACGACAACGACTTGAAAATTCAGCACTTCTTAGTTCTTACTCTCTCATCCACCCATGTCTCTCGTGAATATTTATATAAATAGAAAGAAATCAAAAATTTTAATTCTCAATTATAATAGTATTTGACAATGTGGAAAGGAAAACTCCTCAATGAACACGAAACTCCTCATTATAATATTATATAAGGCGTGGAAAATATTTTTTTCTAGAAAATGAACAATAATCTTTAGGAATCTTGGATCTGCCAAGGAACCAAAAAAAAATCATATACGTAAATGTAGTAATTTAGAAGAACAAGATATTTTCACGGATTATGATAAATGCGAATACCATTGAGGGAAGTTACGTACACAAGAGGTGAATTATCCTCTTTCACCAACTTTTTAATTAAGGAAACACTAGTTCTCAACAAAGAGTTGCAGTATTAGAAGTTTCGAATGTCTTTTTATTACAAGAGAACAATTACAATATGCAGAAGCAAAGTAAATCGTTTGATAGAGGAAGTTCTTAAATCTGTAGAGATCCGTATTACTACGAAATGTACAGATACATTTTAGAAGCAGAAACAATGATATTGCTTCCGAAATACGCAGTCTAACACCCTTCCTCAAAGTGGAAGGTGGCTTGAAAAGTGGAAATACCTAACTAAAATGCAAAATGTATAACTAGAAAATGCTTAGAATTCACGCTCGCCAATTTTTGTTTGTGTGAAAATGACGGCACGTTGTTCGGTAGTAAGTATTTTTAGTTTCTTGAAATCATGAATATTATGACAATCGTTCTTGATGTATTATGATTTATTTTGGGTATTTTGTTTTTCAAAACAGCATATGTTTTAATTTGCAAAATGTAAAATAATTAACTTGAAAATGAAAAATGCAACTGCCTAACTTAAATTTGCAAATGTCTTTTTTTTTTTCCTTTTTTTTGAACAACAGAAATTGCAAATGCCTAACTTGAAATTGCAAATATCTAACTTGAAAATGAAAATGCCTAACTTTAAAATGCAAATGTCTAATTTAAAAATTCAAATGCCTAACTTGAAAATGGTTTGAATTCATGTTGATCAAGTTGTTCTCTGTAAAGGTAGGCAAGTTAAGTTGCTCGGTAAAAGTGTTATATGACATTATATGACAAACGATATTGAAGTGTTATGGTTTTGGTCACTTTTGATATTTTTTCCCAAAAATGTATTATTGTACTTCTGATAATCGTTCTTCATGTGTTATTGTTTTGGCCATTTTCTCTATTTTTTCCTTCCAAAACTGCATAATGTTTTTGAAAATGCAAAATGCAATATGCCTAACTTGAAAAATGCAAATGCCTAACTTGAAAATATTTCAAAGTCACGACGACCAGTTTCCTATGTGAAAATGTTAGTAAGTTTCTCGGTACTAGTACTTTTGGTGTACAACTGGTCTCAACTTGAACAACATCATGAACATTATACGACAATAGTTCTTGATGTCGTATGGTTTTGCTCACTTTATGCTTTTTTTTTTCAATACTGCATAAGGTTTTGGCATCATGAAAATTATATGACAATTGTTCTACACATATTATAGTTTTCACACTTTCGGTATTTGTTTTTCTTCTCTTAATTAAAGAAGCAGCCGTCTCTAGTCTTCTTGTGAGCGAATCTTTGAAGCTTGAGTGTTCTAGACTAATCACAGATCTTCCATCATCTGTGTAGCATATTTCGATTCATTGTTACTTTATATCAATCAATCATTTCATCGATTTTTTAAAGAATGCTTTTCAGGCCAGTTGAAGAGCCACAATCACTTCATCACTTTTAGGATCCATCCCCATCGATCCTATATCGCATCCTCTTCTACGAGATTGGTAATCTCCGTCGCATCGATCAGGGACTCCCAATTCACTTTGTCAGACGTCAGCTCATCCATCTTGGCCTGAAAAATAGATTACCTTCTGATGCGGTCTAGGGTTGATGTCACATGTCAATTTTAAATTTGTAAAATCCTAATATTTGCAAGTGCACAGCTGTGCTAAGTAGTACTTAAGGTGTCAATCCACATAAAGAGTTGTCTTTCTTGCAAAAATCCTGCATCTTGCTCCTCATTGTTCACTTTTTCTTCTTGTTCCAAAGCTGGGTTACCCTTGTTGACGTTTTGCTTGAGCTCCTTTATAGACTCATTCATGCTTTTGCATGCTTTCACCAGTTTTCTCATGGACTTGTTTTGCCACTTACACCACCGCTGAAGAAGCCTTATGTGCTGGTGAGAATAGCGTATACTGGTGGAGGTGATTGGCTTATTAAAGGGTTTGAAGTGATACTTATGAATTCCATAGACGACACAAGGAGGGTCAGGACCTAGTTCTTCATCAGTGGTCTGGGTTGGTTTCTTGCTTCAGCTTGCCTTGGTACTTTGCTTCTTTTGGAGATGTCTTGAAG